AGTAACTCATTTTAAACCAACAACCTTAAAGTGGTTACTTTTAGTATACAGATGCCTGTACATTAAAATGTTCAGAATCCTCAAACTCACACACATTAGAATATAGGTTTGTTTCTTTACCAATCCTGGCTATTTTAGTCAGCTTTATGTTACTGCAACAAATTTCTGAGATAAACCAACTTATACAGAGAAAAAGCATATTTGGTTCCATGACTGACTAGCTCCATTGCTTTGGGCCTGTGGTGAAGCAGCTCATCAATGAAGTGTCTGGTGGAACAATTCATTCACCTCATGACCAGGAATGAACAGGAGAAAGAAAGAGTCCACTGTCACATAATTCCCTTTGAGAACATGCCCCCAATGATCTAATGTCTCCAATTAGGCTCCACCTCTTAAAAGTTCCTACCTCTTTGCAACCGTGCCAAGGTGAACACCAAGCCTTGAAATATGTGGGCCTCTGGGGCCCATGTTCTCTAGCAGTAGTCTCTACACATCTTCTTTCTTCCTAACTGTTACTTCCTGGTACTATAGGTGTTTTCCCCACAGACTCACCTCCATGTGCACCTCCATGAGATCAGAATTTGTGGCAGAAGGTCAAGTACATCACAATAACCACAGGATTCCCAATCAGCTGCCACAGGGCCCTCGACTGCATCTCTGTTTACTTAGGGGAAATGTTACACTGTGCACTTTTGGCCTGGGGTCCTATGGGACTTCAGTGGCTCCAGGACTGATCAACTTCCATGCAGGTCCTCTGAGGACCTTCTGGTGACAGATTCTCTAATATCTTTTTATTCTATTGTTTGTTTAGGTCTATGTGATCTTTAATTATCTATCTCATATATATGTGTCTGTGTGTGTGTGTGTGTGTGTGTGTGTATATATATATATAAAATCATATCAGGGTTCAAGTTGTGTACCAAAAGATAAATAACTGATTGTTTATATGCCTTTAAAATGTTTCAAATGCCCCCAAAAGTTGCTAAAGAAAAGGAATGTGGGAATGCTAACTTTACAACATAATATAGGAAATCAAATTGAAAGGAGTTTCATTCTAACTTGGCTATAAGATCATAGCTATAAATTGTTGGGATTTTAAACATACATTTAAAAAGCACATTTAGGGGCTAGGAGTGGCTCAGCGGTAGAGCGCTCGACCAGCATGTGCGAGGCTCTGGGTTCAATCCTCAGCACCACATAAAAAAATTTAAATAAAATAAAGGTATAATGTCCAACTACAATTTTTAAAAAAGTTTAAAAATTAAAAAAAAATTAAAAAGCACATTTAAATACAGTTTCTCAATTTTTATCCAGAAACTCCTACCATTCAACATGTATCTCCCACCTCAGCTCAGTCCCTCAAAAGAAACCAGTCAGTTTAGATACAAGTTTGAGACAGAGAAGGGCAGGGGACAAAGATTCCAAAATGTGAAACTGGAGAACGTCAGGGCCACATGGTAAGATTCCCCCCACAGGTCAGAGCATTCTTTGCTACTCTCACTCCTCCTCCCCCTGGGACAGGCTATCTCCCAACCACCAGGGCTTTCTGCTTTCTGTCCCCACACTGGAACAGCTAAAGCACTGCAGTGGTCCCCTGGTCACAGTGCTGGTGGGGAGCAATGATAAGCTGCCCTCACTCTTGCTATGGTTAAGATAACTAGTTTAAGACCAGGAAATGTCTCTAACATAGGAACATGCTTTGAATGGGAATTTGCTATATAAAACTATTAATATTCTTTCTAATAATTATAAACTTGGCTTAACTGAATCATACTATATCCACTTAAAAACCGGGCACTTGTGCTAAAATCAAAATTCACTTAGATTCTTTAACGTTTGATCAGAACTCAAAACTGGAACTAAATTGTTCTTTGTCTAATTTCACACAGCCTGTGACACGTGAATCGCTTTATGAAGGGAATCCTGCAGTCTCTGGGAAAATGTGAAATCCCTCTTTTGCAAGGAGTAAAATTTTTCTTTCACTTACATGAAATTAAAGTTGCATGAATGATCCCTGAGTCAGATAAGTTCCTCTGTTTGAATAAAGAATTCATTAGGGGGGCTGGGGATGTGGCTCAAGCGGTAGCGCAATCGCCTGGCACGCGTGCGGCCCGGGTTTGATCCTCAGCACCACATACAAAACAAAGATGTTGTGTCCGCCGAAAACTAAAAAATATTTTAAAAATTCTCTCTCTTAAAAAAAAAAAAGAATTCATTAGGTTTAAGTATTAAAGAAGCAAATGAGACATAAAAATTTAATCCTTGATCAACTGTTTATCTGCTGAATGGTTTGGGGAAATTTACCTTTTCCCTGTAATTCCTTCTCAACATAAAATCATAGTGAAGAGCCAGGAGCAGAGCCTGGTGTTCAGCGCTACCGGGTTGGGGGAAGAGGGAACCCGGCCCAGGCCCTGCCTGTCTCCACGTCTCACAAGCTGGCAAAAGGCCCATGCTAACTCTGGGATCAGGAATTCACCTGACTCCCCCAAGTGTCTCCATTTGCTCACCCACTTGTTCAGTCACAGGTTCAGCCAACGTGCAATGCCACACACACACATACATGTACACACGTACCAGCTGCCACTCTCAAGGAACACGTTGTAGTACAGCACAAAAGGCAGGTCAACAAGCAAGAGCATGGAGAGCAGGAGCCACTGCGAGGACAAATACAGGCCACAGCAGGGCAGAGAAGAGTTCCCGGAAAGGCAGCTTCCAGGATAAACTGCACTGGCCAAGCCGGGAGGTGGGAGTGCAGCCATAAACAGTGCCAGCAGTGGGGACGGTGGGGGAGTGGAACATGCAGAAGGCTGGAAGAGAACATGCCAAAGGCCCCATCTGGCTGAAATGCAGAGTAAGGTGGGAAAAGAGTGAGAGCTGATCCCAACCTGACCTGACATGTGGGGAGTTCCTACACTTGCTTTTGGATGTGCCTAAGAAACTGGCAAATCAGAAATAAGAATGTCAGGGACTGGGGTTGTAGGTCAGTGGTAAAGGGCTTGGCTAGCATGTGTGAGGCACTGGGTTAGATCCTAGCACCACATAAAAATAAATAAATAAAATAAAGGTATTGTGTCCATCTTCAACTAAAAATATTTTTTAAAAAAAGGGTGTCATGTACAGAAAAGGACTCCAATCTTAATGAGAGGACGCTCCTGACTCTTAAGTATATACATTATTGCATCTGTTGATTTACACAGCACAGGAAGCTAATCAATACTTAATTTCTGAAAATGTGTCACAGGCTATATGAAATAAGAACAGACTAGGTCTACAGACAAGAGGTTGCTATCTGACTGAAATATCACACTCCTGGGTGGCATATGAAACATAACTCCATGGATTAAAAATTGATGAATGTAATTCAGTAACAAAGAGATATCTAGTGAATAAATCAAGGTAGTCACCTCAAGAAGAGTTATGACGGTGCTGGAGGACACTCAACTCCTAAGAAGCCAGGCTGTCCCTGAGTTTTTTGGAAGTCAGTAGCGCTTTCTGGCCCTCATTTTCCTCATCTACACTCATCCACACAAGAACAGCTGCTGTGGTCATCTCCAGGGCCTCTAAAGCCCATTATTCTGGTAGGCTAACAGATGCACAAGTGTTTATCATCAAAGGCAAGGACTTCAATAACCACTATAAGGTGTAGACTTACTATCATTTTGCGTGAAGGAGAAACACAAACACACACACACACACATACACATACACACACACGCGCGCTCTCAAAAAATTAAATTCAAAAAACAAATGTAATTAAGTTCAGATACCCTCTAAAAGTTGACAAATCATGCATATCCAAATACAAAGATAATCAAAATTTTAGAACAACCAATTTTTTTGTTTTTAAAGAAGAGAGAAAGTTAAAAAAAAAAAAATGAACATAACTAGGCAGGCAATGATTTGCACTGCTCACTTCCCCCCGCTGGCTTCCTTCCCGCTGGCTTCCTTCCCCTTCTTAGGTCAAAACACTCCTACTATGTAAATCATCCCACAGCCGACTCCAGTGTCCTCTCTGCTATGACTTGCAGGGAACTTCATGCAAAAGAAACAGTTTCTAGACTTCCATGTGACCAAAAGAGATGTGAAGCATCGGGGACCATAAAACACAGCAATCCACAGCAGGCAAAATGTGTATGGCACAGCAGAAATGAATGAACTGAGGATCCCAATTTTAACCACTGAGAAATGTCTGAATAGAGCTGGGCTTGGTGGCACACACCTGTAATCCCAGCTACTCAGCTGGTCAATTCAAGGCCAGCCTGGGCAACTTAGCGAGACCCTGCCTTTTTTTTTTTTTTTTTTTTAATATATTTACCTTTTGTTGTAGTTGGACACAATATCTTTATTTTATCTCTTTATTTTTATGTGGTGCTGAGGATCGAACCCAAGGCCTTGCACATGCTACGCAAGTGCTCTACCACTGAGTCACAACCCCAGCCCTGACCCTGTCTTAAAATAAAAAATATAAAGGATATAGATCAGTGTTTGCAAGCAACCCAGAGTTCAATCCCCAGTATGTGGGGGGGATGATTTAAAAAGTAAAATGTGGATATCCTATGATTTTAGGAATTTTATAGTAAAGTGACACTGTTTAGGATACTTGCTAAGTGCCCAGGTACTTTTTTAAGCACTTGGGATTTTTATGGATTAGAATCCTCACAATACTATCAGACGCATATTACATCTATTTTAATTGTATAGAAACTAGGAACAAATGCTCAGTGTAGTTAAGTAACTACATAAAGTTGCACAGCTTAGAAAGTAGATAGACTTGGAATCCGGTTCTGCTCAACTTCAAATCTCCTCCTCTTTCCATAAATTATGCAGACTTTAAACATCAAAGTAAACAGTTAATTGAAAAAAATTTCCCCTTTTGATAGGACTCTCTTAACACAATGCCATCATTTCAAGAGGAGCTTATGCTAAGTGTGACTTCATAAACAAATCACTTGTGAGAGAAAAAAACCACATCCAGGATCAAACTGCAAGCTGCAAAGCCTGTTTCAGAAAGCACTTCCTGAAAGAGACAGAGCAACGATTACAGCTCAGCAGTGCCAACTCCTCCAGCAAGCCGGAGCTACATTCAAAACAGCCTTTAACGCAACAAGTGAGTCTAACACAAAAGAAATACGACATGTCTGAAATGCACCATTTCCAGACAGAGCTATTTTAACTCACAGACACCTCTTTTTCAGAAGTGGGTACACCGGAAAATGGTCACTTCTAAGACAACGCTTTGATGGAAGGAGGTAAGCAGCATTCCTTTAACTTCATCACAGATCACTATCATAAGCACTGCTTTATTAAGCTCAAAATCACTAACAAAACATTATAGAAACTACGTTGGTGAAGGAAAGGACCTCGAAATCGTTGTGATCTTTCCATATTATTAGTACGATTGGGCACTAATTTTCAATATTACTTTACATTAATGGTAATTTTTCAAATTAAGGAAAACCCTGGCATGATAAGTCATAAATATATTAAAGTGTCTTTGTCACATTGTTTCAATTATATTGATTTATAAGATTATTTATCTTTTTTGTTTTGGTACTGGGACTTGAACCCAAGGGCACGCCATTATTGAGTTACATCTGCATTCCTTTTTATTTTTATTTTGAGACAGGGTCTAAGTTGCCAAGGCAGTCCTTGAACTTGCAATCCTCTTGCCTCAGCTTCCCAAGTCACTGCCATGACACGTGCCACCACACCTGGCATGAAATTATTTGTTTAATTAAGAAAAGAAAAACTATAGGTGATCATGGAATATAAAGCTTTCAAAAAGTTGACTTGAAAGCCAATTACTTTTCACAATTTTTCCAAAATTTTCTGTTTGCAGAGCATAGCCTTTAAGACACTTGAGTCACTCATACTTTATCCAAACTGGAGTGAATGAATGAAGACAAATGCAGATGGCAAATGAACTGCATAAAAGCGGCCTGAGCCCAAGGTGGGAAAGGCTCCCTGAGCTGGTTGGTAAATAAGGCATTTATGGAACAAAATTAGGGATGAAGATAGGTAGAGAAGAAAAAAAAATACAAAATTTCATTTACATTACATTTATTACTATTTAAAAATTCTTTGAGGACTGGGGTTGTGGCTCAGTGGTAGAGTGCTCACCTAGCACAAGTAAGGCACTGGCTTCGGTCCTCAGAACCACATAAAAATAAAATAAAGATATTATGTCTATCCACAACTAAAAAACATGTAAAAAATGCCTTTATGTTTAATAAAGTTAATAAAATTTAAGATTTAAGTTCCCGAGTTCTTCTGGAGATCTAATTTTCCTATGCAGTGTTCTTCTCATCTGATAGAAATTAATATTATACTTTAACTGATATTTGGAAATTTTATTACAGGGTTTTAAATTTATAGAATTTTATTCCAAAATCATATTCAATCCACATATTTGAGAAACTAATTTAGGAAGTTACAAATGAAGGAGGAAGAGGAAGGGAAAGAGAAAGAGAGGGAAGAAAGCAAATTTGCATCTTGTAATTTGTCCACAGCAACCTCAAAAGCTGTTCTCAGCAGCCCATGATACCACTGACCACAGGCTGCTAATCTCCCCCATAATTCTCACTAAAGAGGGAGTCAGGGCTGAATTAGAGACAAGCCACTCTACAAAGTGACATTTTTGAAGGAAACTTCATACACCTCCATATTTCAAAAAGATGCCTCAAAGTTCCACCTCTTTGTAGTGAGGCTATTTTTAAAATCTCTTAGTGGCTGTATCATGGTGAGGATTTTTACTCTGAGGGTCAATGATATTTGCAATCACAACTAAACTCTTTCCATTTGAAATGAACACTTTTTTGGTGATTGGAATTTATTACTTTTGACATACGCATCAAGTTACTGATGACTTCTTATCAGTATCCACTTCTCTTAGCTGCTCCTTTTTAAAATTTAATTTGACAAACAGTATTCATGCTTCTATACTTAGGCAGAGGAGGGGTATGAGAGCTGTTCTCCTGACAGGAACATATTTTCAAGACATTCTTCTCTATGCACCACTGAGGCACCTGAAATCAGCTTTTAGGACCTAAGACACACAGTCTGGTAGCTTCACTCTGAGGCACTCCAATGGCCTGGACACAGTCCATCTGTTGCTCTAGGAGCCCGGTTATCTTTTTCTTTTGTTTAATATTTATTTTGTAGTTATATAGGTGGACACATATCTTTATTTTTAATGTGGTGCTAAGGATCGAACCCATGCCTCACACAGGCTAGGTGAGCACTCTACCTCTAAGCCACAACCCCAGCCTGAGCTCAGTTCTTGATCTGTAGATCATGAGACAAAACCACTGTTTCTAGACTGATGATAAATTTAAGAGAATATGAGATAATACTACGAAGAAGTCTTTACCACTTAAGAATAAATAAAAGGTCAGACAGCAACTGTGCAAGTCTTCACTGACAAACTAGAGAACAGCTGCTATGAGTGACCTTACCAAACATGCTTTCCTTCATTCTCCTTCATTGAGCAAGTATTTATTTACTGAATACCTACTATGAGCTCAATCGGAAATAGGGAAATAGAAGATAAAATAAAGTTTCTGCTCTCTCTTACGTGAGAATTATTGTAATTTTCAATAATCAGTTTTCCAATATACAGTTTTTTTATTTTTTTAGTTGTTGATAGATCTTTATTTTATTAATTTATATGTGGTGCTGAGAATCGATCCCAGTGCCTCACACATGCCAGGCAAGTGTGCTACCGCTGAGCCACAGTCCCAGCACCCAACATACATTTTTATATTAAAATTATATTTAATGAATGGCTGGGCATGGTGGTACATGCCTGAAATCATAGGTACTCAGTAAGCTGAGTCAGGAAAGTCACAAGTTTGAGATCAGTCTGGGAAACTTAGCAGACCCTGTCTCAAAATTTTAAAAAAACGGCTGGAGATGTAGCTCAGTAGTAGAGTGCTTCAGGTTTAATCCCCAGTACACACACTCCCCCCAAAAAATTGTGTTTGAGTAAAAGTGTACTATTTTGACATTAATAACTTGATTATAAAATATTTAAACAGAATGGTGGTGATAAAAAATGGGAAACATTTTATAAGATTCAAAATACAGATTGGCCTTTCCCCAATAAGTCTAAATCAAGAATGCTTATTAGAGAGGAATAACAGTTACCCAATTTCATACTATAGGGAGAAAAAAATCATAAAGGAAAGCTTGTTTTTTGAGGCAGAAGACAGGTAAGCAGGGATAGTGAAATAAATGGATCCCCCACTGCATTGAGACCCTCTGAGCCATGTTCATGGGTTAGCATATAATAAGGGCTTGGGTAAGGCTTGGGGTTAGAGCATTTACCCGAGTTTAATCCCCAGCCCTGAAAAAAATGATGAGTTTACCATAGCTGTAATCTCTAGGGAATGCATTCCTTAATAAATGCTGAGACTCACATATTAAGTTCACAATATAAAATACTCTCAAAATGAGACAGCCAAGCTGAGTTTGAGAATGTTAGCATCTATTTTCCAACCAAGGGATTTCTTCCTAATTTTTTCAACTATTTTTACAGCCTCTAAGTATCATGCCTACCAACAAGCTATAAGATGACTACCCCAAGCAATCAAGATCAACCCATCCCTTCTAATAGCTCACACCCAGACGAATACAAAATCGCGGCTCTTGTCTTCTACAGCTGTATATTCCTGGTTGGATTATTTGTTAATGTTACTGCCTTATGGGTTTTCAGTTGTACCACCAAGAAGAGAACTACTGTAACCATCTATATGATGAATGTGGCACTACTGGACTTAATATTTATAATGAGTCTACCCTTCCGAATGTTCTACTATGCAAAAGGTGAATGGCCATTTGGAGAGTACTTCTGCCACATTCTCGGGGCTCTTGTAGTGTTTTACCCAAGCGCTGCTCTATGGCTTCTTGCTTTTATCAGTGCCGACAGATACATGGCCATCGTACAGCCGAAATATGCCAAAGAACTTAAAAAAACATGCAAGGCCTTGCTTGCCTGTGTAGGAGTGTGGATAATGACCCTGACAACCACTGTCCCTCTGCTGCTCCTCTATGAAGACCCAGATAAAGCCTCCTCCCCTGCCACCTGCCTAAAGATCTCTGACATCATTCATTTCAAAGCCGTCAATGTGCTGAACTTCACTCGACTGATATTCTTCTTCCTGATCCCTGTGTTCATCATGATTGGGTGCTACTTGGTCATCATTCACAGTCTCCTCCATGGCAAGACATCTAAGCTGAAACCCAAGGTCAAGGAGAAGTCCATAAGAATTATCATCACGCTCCTGGTGCAGGTGCTCATCTGCTTCCTGCCCTTCCACATCTGCTTTGCCTTCCTGATGCTGGGTGGGGAAGAAAACAGCTACAGCCCCTGGGGAGCCTTCACCACCTTCCTCATGAACCTCAGCACGTGTCTGGATATGATCCTCTACTACATTGTTTCCAAACAATTTCAGGCTCGGGTCATTAGCGTCATGCTGTACCGCAATTACCTCCGGAGTGTGCGTAGAAAAAGCTTCCGATCTGGGAGTTTACGGTCACTTAGCAATGTGAATAGTGAAATGTTATAAATGACGTGAATTTTCTTCAATCTCTTTAAAATTCATTTTTCTTTAAAATTCATTTTCCTAACTACTCCAGTACCAATGGATATTCTACATAATATTATCAAGTCCCCTCTCTGCTAAAAGAAAAGAAAAAAACTTTAAGAACTCTTTTGTACAATCTTATTGTGGCAATACAATTACACATTCTAATTTTTTATTTTCAAACTTGTATAAAACATTTTGAATTATTGGGGAAAAAACACCCACACTGGCATTTCACAGTCAAGCCTTATCTACACAGATAATAAATATTTTTTAATTATTTTGAATTTAATTATTTTGAATTTAATTCTGTGAATCATGAGGAAAAAAATTCAACCACTGATCAAAGCAATTGGGTGCACTATTTTCAATCCAGATGCACCTCTCATGTCTAATCTCAGGACCCTTAGGTATAAATTAAATACTTCTACACAAACAACTATGTGCAACACATCATCACTTGCTGCAGAGCAAACTGATGGTGGCAAGCAGCAGATGCGCCTGGGAAGGTCACCCCTATCAGCCCCGCTCCTACTCTGAATTTGGTTTCTTTTAGAGATAAGACTAGTCAAAAACTTTCTAGACTAGATAAAAACTTTCTGAGAGCATACATGCACCCAATCCCACATAAAACTAATAATGAAAACTTAACCTGAGATCCCTTTCTGCCCAATAACAAGGACACGAGGTGTTTCTGTGTGAAAGCCATTCTCTGATGACAAAAAATCAACAAAGTGAAAACGTTAAGTCATGGTTGTCATAATAAACTTATAGGTAATCTAAAATAGTTAATGAAAATTTATTTAGCATGGTAAGTACTTTTTTTTTTTTTTTGGTACTGGGAATTGGATCCAGCGGCCCTTAACTACTGAACCACATCCTCAGCCCAGCCCTTTTTATTTTTTTATTCTGAGACAGGTTTTTGCTAAGTTGCTTAGGGCCTCGCTAAATTGCTGGGGCTGGCTTTGAACTTGTGATACTCCTGCCTAAGCTTCCTGAGCAACTGGATTATAGGCTAGGACCATGTATACAGTGTAATTACACACATTTAAACACAGTATGTAAAAATTCAAAATTTCACTATTCTAGAGGGGTTTGATTCTGGAAAACAATGTTACATCCATATGTAAACACTAACAATTAAAAAACAGTAAGCATGTAAGGACAGATGTGTAGCCAGCATGGGTTACTAGACATAGCTTATAAGAAAAGTTACACATAAGCTATGTCTTTTCCTATAAGCTAGGTCTAGTGATAGAGCTTCTTTAGTTTGCGAACAACAGTTATATTTCCTGAATTGAAATAACAGTCATGAGCATCTATCATGTGTCAGGTACAATTTCTATGAAAAGCACAAGATAGACAGGTCCATATAGAGTTCAGTGACCTTATCCTATAGTCTGACTAGTGCTCACTATAATCAAGATTAGCCCTTCAATGTTACTGAGTGTAAGGAAGTTAACACATAAAGTAAAACCTAGTTCTCCCTCCAACAACTAGTAGGTAGCGTAGAAGATACAGACGACAAAAAATACTATAATATAATAACATTAAGATAATAAATGTAATAAATACTAATAAGAATATTAATACATTTGTTATAATACACCTAAAAGGGTAATTAATCTTACCAAAGAAGGCCAGGTAGGCATAAGAGTACAAATACTGTACACAGTATGTTAAGAAAGATAAATGACTGATGGGGGAGAGGCCTGACAGAGATGGTGGTCCTAAAGAAAAGGAAAACCAAACATGCTGCAAGGAACTCAGTAAGAGTTTGCTTAATTCTCTCTACTCCCTGTGAAGAACAGAGTGCCTCCAACTGACCCATGATAGCCATTTATAAACAGCTCAGAAATGGAACTTGAAAGAAGCCACCTGCTTAAAATTTATCACACAACCCGTCAGTGGCACAGATGAAATCTCGAACCTGTGATGGCAAAGCCCATGCCATTCCAGCTACTCCAGTTGCCCTGATGGCATCCTGGAGGAGCATGAACTTTGTTCTGAAGGAAACAGAGCTTTAAAGGTTTTAAAGACGAGGTCTAGCATGGTCAAGCCCATATTTTAGAAACACAACTTGTGAATGCTCCGTATGAGATGGTTTGAAATTGACAGGGGGCTAGTTAGAGATTTTCTGTAAAAACTCAGGCGAGAAAAGATCAGAGTTTAGACTGGTATTGTGTAGAAATAAGAGAAGTAGAAAAAAGGGGAAGAATGAGTGTGCTACTGAGGACTCTGGATTACATGCACTTGGAGCTCCGTCCCATTGAGGGGCAAGGGAAAGACTCCCAGCTTGGAAGACTGAATACATGGAAAGCCAGTAACTAAAGTAAGGACAGCAGGAGGAGGGGACAATGGGGGAGAGAAAGGAGACCCAAAGGGAGGAGAGTTTCAGAACATGAGGTGTGGAGAGCCATTCTCACGCGTGCCTGGGCGACTCCCGGTTTGGGCCTGAGGCTTCTGGCTGTGTCGGAATTTTCCCGGCCCTCTCCTGATGAGAGAACCCGTCCGTGTGGGGGTGTTACTGACCACTGACCCCGGGGGCCCAATCACTGACCCTGACCTTGGAGTGCGGCCCCCCCTCAACCTTCATCAATAAAAGGCTACTCCCTGGCGTGCTCGCTCTCTCTCTCTCCTGCTAGCCCTGAGTAATCCTTGCTGCCCTACGGGTGGTTCGAGGTTGGAGCCAGAGAGGGGAGCCGTCTCGGACCTGGTCATAGAAAAAGGTAACTGAGTCTGTGTGTTTATTTCAATCTCTGCTAGCTAACTTTTATGCCAAGAACCTCATTAATGAAACCAATGCGCAGGCCGCATGGTGGAATGAGGAGTTTTCTTTGAGTCTAGATGTCACTAGGAATTTTGAGTCTACAAGTCACTAGGAATTAAGACTCTAGACAGATCAGGAAAGTAGTGCACCCTGGAAATGCAGGGCTGGGAAACAAACAGGCTGAAGTCCTGGCAGTGGGTGAAACAGTCCAAAGAAGCCTCAGGGAGTGAGCTGGAGAAGAGCCACAGATGGTAACTAGGAGCAGGTGGTTGGTTTCACAAAATGAAGAGAGTTGTTAAAAAGCATTTAAAGTGCTACTAAAAGGCCAAACAGGATGACCGATGGCTTCAGAAATCAGGTGGTTTCTTGGGACTTTATAAGTTTTAATAGCAGTGAGATTAAGAAAGAAGTAAGTAGAAAGTGAAGAACTGTAGAGAGTGCAAATGGATTTGGCATTGATGGGAAAAGAAAAAGATGTCATAATGCAAATGTAAGGCACATTGACTTTTTAAAGAGTAGTTTCCTCTCTTGAATTTTTGAAGCTTTGCCATTACCAATAAAAGATATTTTTACAAAATCCAAAGTTTACTTATTAAAGTAATGATTTACTTTTCATTACTTTATATAATGTTTTGTGACTTGAAAGAGAAGATGGCTGAATTAGCATTCACACTGTTTTTCAAAGGGGATACTATCATTTTTTAATTTATTCACGGTTGGAACTCTCAGTACAGATTTAAATAGTTCTCTCTTAAGAGTAAAGAAAATTCCCGCCAACTTTAAAATTGAATCAGACTTTTCATAATAAACTAAATGAATATGAAGGTTCTACTGTCACCCAACTGCATGTGTAGTAGAAAAAATGTCCTCAGACAAGGGGAAAATGTAAGAGAATTAATAACTGTGTTGTTCTTCATCCCCAAGACTTATTCTAACACACACACACACACACACACACACACACGACACACATATGTCCTTCCAAAATTCAGCAGGCTTCACAGAAAAACAAAAAGAATTGGCCTGGGTGAGAAACACCTGGGGAGAACGGCAGACTCAGCTTGGCTGGCTCTTTCCTGAGTTAACCTGGACACCATCCCGAGAGGACTCTGTGTTCACAGGGGCAGAACAACAAACTTCTCAGACTGATTCCAACACAACCCGTGGCACTCAACAAAAACTACATGATCATCATCACACAGAACTCAGTCCATCTCCTCTTAAATATTATTCAGAACTAAACATCATTAAAACAGCTATAGGTCAATATTCATGGATATTCATGCCAACAATTGTGTAAATCCCATGAGGGGAAACCACACTGTTAATACCAACAATATAAGTGTGAAAGCCATTGGAACACTAATTACATTTGACAATAGGGATCCAAAGTGGATTTGAATCCAGATATGTACAGTGGCCTGATCATTCTCAAACTCAATATTTAAAAGTAAAACAAGACACAGAATTTATACATCCAGTATCTGTCTTTCAAACCATCTCATCTTTCAAATCTAGTCTCCTATACTTAATTAAGTGATGCTTTAAGACAACTTATATGTGCTATCAACTCTACTCCTAGAGACTAGTAACTGTATACAGTAAAACACAGTTTTCATTTTTGAAAAATCCACATAATGCGGAAGCCTCTACACACTGAGTCAGGTTGGTCACTGCAGGCTGGGCACAAATTGTGATCTATGTACTTACTTTGTTTTATCTTTGGTGAAAGTATTCAAACAATATCAGCCTAAAGAGATTTCTTTAGAAACTTAACTTTCTACAAATTTGTTTCCTAATCTAAATAAATTTTCTACTTTTGGGCTTAATTAATGTATAAAATTACAAAGATAAAAAATTATAAAAATACAAAACAAATTCCATCTTCAGAATTTGAATAGCAAATTCATTAAAAATTCTCTAAAACACAGAATGTCAGAGTTCAAAAGAAGAGTTAATATAAAACTGACTGTTTCAAGAACATGGTGAATAGATACATATACTCTGGATTTACTTTTACTTATAAAATTAATTTTACTATATTTAAAGTTTTAAAATATTCACTCAGTGACTTTCATGAATGATAACGCTTTCAAAAAGATTTAAGAGTTCTAAATTAAGCCAATCTCTAAGAACTACTTACAATCCAGAAGGCAAATTACTGGCCACAGTGATACCAAATGAATACTGCATAGCTTCAACAAGGAGAAAGTCAAACAAGGCTGACAAAATCCAGCAACCTAGCAAAAAGGACTAAAAAGTAAAACAGGAAAAAACATTAGAGAAGGTACCCAAAAATAAATTAACATTTATTTAGTTAGAATCAGCTCTAACAGATTAATATACATATGAATGTATATTTTTAAAATATTCTTATTACAACAAACTTTACATACATGTGTAATAATATAATCAGAATATACTGATTAATACATGTATATATGTATATTCTTTAAATATTGTTTTTATTACAGCAGACTTTTCAAAACTGGACAGTAAAACCATATTGTTCAAATGCATTA